TCACGATACGATATCAGCAGAACTACTAGCTTAGAAAGGAACTTCAATATAGAATTAGAGAATAAAGGTTTTTTAGTAGATACCATGATGGAGCTTTTCCGTATAGGTTTTTTTTCAAAATAGAATTAGAGAAGCTGGACCGGCACAAGTATCCCAGCTGCGCTCTGTAATTTGGTACACCAAACCGCTCAAAAACATCAAAGGGCATTGGATAGGGCATTTTTGGTCCATATCAAAGATCGCAGTTTCCATAGGCAGACTCCCTAGTATATTCCAAGCAGAGGTTCACACGCCATCAGTCTGTGTGCAGAGATTAATCTGAGATTGTCAAGAACCTTAAAGAAAATAATTGTTGAGCTCTTTCAATCTTTGCTTAGCTAGTTCAGTGGCATAAAGCCCCATTCTAGTCTAACTACACACCCAGCTGGAAATCAACCATGTCCTAATTCCGCATACCACCTATTTAATTTTGCTAAGTAGGAAGGACTATAGCATGCAAAATATAGAGCAAGGAAAACTATTCTGGTGCTTGATACGTTTTCTTTACTAAGGAGTGCTCTGATTGGAGTCGGTCAGTCCTTGACAAAGGAAATCTGGACAGATTATTGTAATACTGGTTTTATTCATCAGTGCCAGGACTAAAACTGCTTTGCAAAATGTTGACTTANGTTTAATTTTGCTAAATAGGAAAGACTATAGCATGTAAAATATAGAGCAAGGAAAACTATTCTGGTGCTTGATACGTTTTCTTTACTAAGGTATGCCCTGATTGGAGTCGGTCAGTCCTTGACACAGAAAATCTGGACAGCTTATTGTAATACTGGTTTTATTCATCAGTGCCAGGACTAAAACTGCTTTGCAAAATGTTGACTTAGTTAACATATTTATATCTTAAATAAAATTAAACTGAATTTCCCGTTCAAAGCTGTGAGAAAATTCTGGAGAAGAGCTGCCAAAAACAATTGACTTGAGCCCCAACGGGAAGGACCGAGGTTTTCAAAGCAGCTCGGATCTTTTCCGAATATTAATTACGAAGATACAAATTTTAAATTTTGCTAAGTTGAGATATGTGATCTTTTGAAGCTTTTAAAAAATAAACCATACTCCACATGCATACGTTCTACGAGAATAAAGATAAGAGTACTTTTTTTTCAAAAACATGAAGAAATATTTGAAATCGTTAGAAATTCGGCATAAGAATTTAAAATTTTTTATGAGCCCGGATTTTCTCTTGACGGCCCTGAAAGAAAGCATTACTTTCCTATCTGATTTCCGCTAGGCTATTAGAAAAAAATGAACAACGCCTGTTTGGGATTTCTTTCCCAACCGGGTGGGTTACGAGTATGTATACAGTAGAAGTTCTGAAAATAGTAGCTATGTATACAAAATAAAATTTAAAATAACGAAAACTATTTAACTAACATAAATTAAAGACAAGTAGTGTTATTACATGACGTTATCAAAAGAGCACAAACATACATAATACATATTTAAGCACAAACATATGTATACATATGTATCTATTAGGGTGTTCGATTATTCGCCTTTTCCGAAACCGGTGTTAAAATTGCAATTTGAAGAAACCCGGTTCCGGATTTGGAAATTAAGAAAAAACCGGACAAACCCGGTTTCGTTTTACACAGTTTTTATAGAGTGAAAGGGCTTATTTTGGTATGAAGTCATTACCAAAAATTACAATAAAGCTATTAACAGTAAAGAATGCTATTATTTAAAAAAGAGCAAAGCAAAATAAGTGCTTTATTGCATTTTCTCTGATTCTTTTCGCTTTAGAGTAGGTGCTTAGAGGTGCCTCCTGCCATTCCGGAGCTCAACATCAAAAAAAGCTTTTTCAAATAGCGGTACTCAGCAGACAATGGCAAACCTTCGAGTGTACTTTGGACATAAAAAAGCTGAATTCGGAGGTGTCACAACATCGAGAAGCAGAACATGAATTGGAGGATAAGCTCGGCCAAACACGTAGAAAACGTTTAAGCGCCAAACATTAATTTATTGGAACCAAATATGATATACTGTCCATACCCAAATTACCCCGGATATAGTTGTAGAACTATTTGGAGGTTTCTTTTAAACTGGAAAAACTTCGAAAAAATCGAAACTTTTATTGTGAGGTCAATATTTGTATGAAATGAAAAAAATCCGGTTTATTCGATATTAGAAAAATCAAGATTAAAAAAAAACGCCTATAGATATGCAAAAAAAAATCGGTTGAAACCGGTTTGGAAGAACCGACTCAATCACCCTAGTATGTATGTATCTATAAATGGCTATTTATATATATTGTATTCCTACTATCTTATCTTTGTTCTTAGTATGACTATGGTATAATTGTTTAAACATTTACATAACACTTATTTCCGTTGATAACAAATTTCTTCCGATTGCTTTCATATATAGCTACTTTTCTTTTGTCTTCTTCTTTATAGATGATTGTTTTTATGATTTTAATTCGCGTAGATATCAATATGTACAATCAATGTGACGCAGGTCACTCACGTCGGTGCTGTTTGAAATAATATTTGAGTCATGTTTTTGTTTTTATTTTTAAGAGAACACTATACATAATTCTAGCGTCAATTACGATAGTCAAAGCGTTGCTTAATTATACTCGTACTTAATAGTTTCTAAACGTACGAGAAAGGCCTGTGTAGAGTCTTTATATTATACATCTTTATGTAACTACATACATATGTATGTCGATAAACGCAGTAACTAAATAATAACTTCTTCGGTAGGAACTATCAGAAAAGCAGCAGCTGTCATTTAGGTTGAGTAGCCACTTAGGCACGAGTACATCAGAAATCATTTAACGTAAGAATTTTCAATTACCCGCCGGTAGATGTTGAAATGGAAAATAAGCTGTGTATGAAGCTGTCTTAGCACTTTGTCTTGGAAAAATTTGCGTTAACGCAGCAGAAATTTTTTAATTGCTTCTTGTGTGTACAAATGGATATTTCTCGACAAGCTCAGGGTTATTTCAGGACCATTTCGAGAACTGTTCAGGATCGTTACCAAACTTGTTCGGAATCATTTCGAGACCGCTAAAGCACCTGTTCAATACCATTTAGAGACTAGTCCGGGAATATTTCAAAAACGTTTTGGGACTAGTTGGGTCTAGTTCAGGCGCATTTCGATACTATTTGAGGATCATTTTGAGCCGTGTTCGGGATCATTTTAAAACTAATGCGAAGCCAATTCTGTGCCATTTCAAGACTTGATCGAGATTATTTCTGAACAAGTTCACGACTTTTTCGCCCGTTCCCGGGCCTTTTCTGCGCTATTTCATGACTATTTCGGGAACATTTCCAGCGGCTCGCAGTTCGGCTTTTGGAATCTTGGTATGGGGTTTGGAATATGAAAATCAAGGTTTATATAAAAATTTAGATCTTCATAAAATTTTCGAAGTTTAATATTTCTATTCCGCGCACTAATGACATTTGCATACCTTTATAAATAGGAATGGCAAAAAAAATTAGTTATCACTCGATTAATGTATTGAATGATTAATTGCAAGGCCAAAAAATTAATTTCAATTAATTGCAAGATATTAATCGATTTTTTTTTTTAATAGTATTAAAATGAAATAACTTGTTTTAAAATTTTTTGAGTGATTAAGAAACAATTCAAATACAAAATTGTCAAAATTAAGGGGCATGTTCGAGGCATGTTATAAAAGCGGCAATACTGCAGCAATAATGAAAATTTGCAATACTGTTGCATCTTCCCAACTGATAAAACGCTGCTAGAAATTCGCACCCAACGTGATACTTTAATAATTCGTGCAATACTGCGGTTGTGATTGCATCTCGAACAAGCCCAGGTTTAAAAAAAAAAAGTGATTTTGACAGCTTCTTGGTTGTCAATCTGCTTCGGCTTTACAAAGGTATGGCCCCGGTTATAGAAAAAAGGCTTCCTTGCGGGTACTAATGTACCAATCAAGTGCGAATATTTGTCGGAAAATGGGTAAAGTTTTGGATAAACAGCATTCATGTCTTCCCATGTTTCAATAGTGTTTCGTTTCAAGTATAAAACTTGGCAATAATCAAATAAAAACTTTGTTCGTTTTGAGGCAATGTATCACCATTTGCCCTTTGTTATGAGCTAATGTTTTATGAAGGGCCCATCCATTATTCAAAATCATTTTCATCCGCCATTTCATTTATCAAAGACTGCATTGTTGAAGCAAGAGCTGTAGGATCTGCAAAATGTATTTTTTTTTTGTTAACGTGGGTCGAATATAGTTGACGCCACTACTAAAAATTAGTGTTCAATTGATCCCAAGCGTCGGTCAAACTGCTTTAGCAAAGCTTACGGGAGCCATTTTGAGCATGGGTTTAATTTTCCGAATTTATGTGCAAAGATAGTGAGTGATCTGTCTCACATTTTTACCTAAAGAAACAAGACATAGTTAAAAAAAATAAAAATTGAGAGCTTGGCCATTAATATTTTTAAATTTTCGCTATATATTTCCTCAAACTTATTTTTGTCACCTGGTCACCTTAACAAACTATGTATATACATATGCATGTACACGTGTTTTAAAATAACAATACAAGTACATACATATGCATGTACGGATGTGCAAATGTTTGCCACATATTCAGCAAATGTTCAGTTTCCATGCAATAACATTGAAAATTTCATCAGCCAAAACTTAAATAATAACTTTTATGTTTACAATTACGAGCGATAAAAATTTAAATATTCTACGATGTTTCAGAAATTTTCCTCAATAATGACGTGCATTAAGAAACCACTACGCGAATGCGCTGCTGGCGCATAATGCCGGCGTTTAGTTGTGTGATAACTGCTTGGCAAACGTAAAAATTCGAGCGAAAGCACGTTTTGCACTTTTTCATTTGTGGGAACTGCATTTTTTGTAGAAAGCTGTTATTAAATGACACATTTTTTCTTAATTCGAGCATGTAAATATGTAGTATATGTGCTTTCATATTTTAAGAAGTAAAAGTTTCAACAAATACTTTTTTCTGTTAAATTTTTAGCGCAAAGAATCAACTTTTCTTTTTTATATTCACATTGACGATTATTTCCGCACAATGAAAAGAAGAAAAAAAAACGCACCCAGCACAATAATATCTAAATTTTCCGCTCACAAAACCTTCACAATCGGTAAACGCGCTCTAACTGAACAAGTATTGGCTCTGACTCTTTGGCACTCATATTGGCGGCGTTGGCACTGGTACATTTGTACTTTGTCTACATGGCGGTGTGCGTTAAAGTAGTGTTCTCTCTGGCGCTTTGGGTCTTCCACGCAGTGCCATCAACGATTTTTATTCAACCCCAACCTCAAAGTACTCGGTATAAGTGGAATGCTCGTTGTCGACTCGTATATCTTTCATTTGCTTTTTATACCTTTCATGAGCATGAAATGGNCACCCTAATTTTTGCCCTCTCCTCTATATTTAACGTCAAATGACTGATTTGCGTAAAATCAAAGAGAATATCAGGTTATCTTGCAGTGCGATGCACCGGAGTACATATGTAGAATCACAAACCTCTATAGATACATTTGTATGTGTATATATGTGCATACGTTCCGATATATGGACATGCACTCCAGTCGGTTGATTCGAGTTTCAAGTTCAATGCCTGGCAAAAATTCACGTGTTCACTAATCTTTCCATACGTTAGCTAAAGTACTCGCACTTTCATACTAGAGAGTTAGTTAAATGAATTAAAATAGCAGTACTTTAGTTTAAAACAATTATTATCCAGCCTGAAGTATATTGCGCTGGCCTCCTATTGAGGTTTAATTGCTGAAGAGTACTTCTGCATAGGAAGCTGAATTGGCGATAGTTTGAAAGCCAGCAGGGGGTTCTTTCAGATCAACAGGTAGTATGAGAGTGTATTTTTAATTTGTACTTATACTAGTATACTAAAATTTCGATCCCAGAGAGCTCAGTGTTAGGTAAGAAGTGCGTGCCCAAATGCTTTCATCTTAGTCTCGCGAAGCGTGGATAGTCTAAAAGAAGAAGATTCCACATGATTCATCTTCCACCTGACAGCTGATACAAAAGGGATCAGTTGATATTCCTCAACAATCGCACAATGGCCTGTCAGAACCCCCATCATTAGCACTTTAAAGGTAGCGTGTTTTTTCGCCACCTTTAAAGGGTAACGATGGGTCACTCGTGTCCTGCGCTGCAAAAAAGTATTTTAAAGTGCCCTTAAAAACATTTGCTGCAGCAGAGAAACGTCTAGTGAGTTCCACCAGACTGGTAGGCCTAAAACCTCTAGGAGGAACAAGAGAGCCTATCCGGCCTTCGGGATGACCGCAACACTGACTACCCTCAAAGCCTTGGGGATATACCCGGTCCTCACGCAGTTCGCACAAATAGGAGCCGTCGGTCCCCGGCAACTTGAAGGGTTTGAACGAATTTATTGCCCAGGCCATGTGACGATCTTAAAGCTTAAACAGACGGCAGCGTTGATCGGGATTAACTGGGACTTAATCCGGATCGACTGCAGTTAATTCCCGAGTTGATCCGGATCAACGCTGCCGTCTGTTTAAGCTCTAATAGAAGATCGGAGAAGTACAGAACCTGAAGTACAAAATATTGCGAATTACGAAGTGGAAGAGTTAAAAAATAAATACTGTACTTCCGAAAGAAGTACGGTTGGTCACATTATTCATCCTCAAATTTCTTCGATGCTCTAAAAATATAGCCCCGCACAATCTTTCTACTGTATAGAGCAGGTGGAGAACGTCATGTTGACTGCTGATTAAAAAACCTTTCGGGCTTAGAGAGGGAAAAGTAAAAGTTATAAATGCAAAATTTCACATCATCTACTCAACCTCCTTAGCCTCCCCCAATCTACGTACTGTTCTCACAAAAATACTAGAATCAGCGCGATACCGACTTATCAGTGCAGTTGTTTTTGGCGCTGAACCTATTAAAGCAAGTGTTTCGTTTTCGACAGTAATCAATTCTTTAAGTGTCATGGATTATTCACGTGAAGGTATTTACGTATGGTATTTTGCTCCTCTTTTATAAAACATTGTATTGGAAATGTTGATGCTAAAGATTATTAGTAAAGAAAAAAGTGTGAGTACCTGTTCGTTAGGTCTTGAAATTCGACGCATGTTTTAAAGAATTTCATATAGTTTTCAAGCATATAATTGGATATTTTCGCGCAATTTTGCAAATAAACAGTGACTGAACCAAATGATTACGTGTTGATTTTTTTTAATATTCATTATGTTTTTCGAGTTAAATTTTTTTGTTATTTTCTATGAAAATTTTCTCCAAGCTTTTCGAGTTAAATTTTTTTATTATTTTTCTATAAAAATATTGTCCAAGCTTTAAACAAAACCAGTTTCCAAATTTACTGACTTTCTTATAAAAAAAATTTCGTAAGAAAAAAATTCTTAATTTTACGATTTTCAGCTTCTTCGCAGAATAATGCAAAAATCACACCTACATAATTTTTAAGTATAGCCTTTGTATTTCTGAGAGTGGAAAGCACAAAACCAAAATGAAGTAAAAATTCATCATATCTAATGATTGGGCCCATACTTTTGCAAGTTGTAGATGCTATAATTACCTTGTCTCTGGCATATTTTATATTTAGGGGTTTCTTATTAAAGAGAGAGTACAAAGCGAATTTCATCGAAATCGGATGAAATTTAATGTTTCTCCGCCCACAAGTGTGGAGGGCGTGGCAATTATCCCATCTTAACAATATTTAATAATTCCCTATTCCTAAGGAAAATTAGAAGACTTGAAAAGTTTCAGCGAAATCGGTGCAGGTTAACTATTCTTTCCACCTGCCTCCATATATTGGTGAAACACCGTGCCCTGTGAGGCACGATTCTTACATCTCGAGAACGAGAAGTTAGCGCGAAATAAATATAAAGGTATTTTAAAGCTTTTGAGAAAAATAATTCAGGAAAAAGGTCTCGTTGGATAAAAAAAAAAATACCTGGACCTTCAAAAATAGAAGGTTTAATTTTTTTCTTTTTTGGCCTTCAAACTCTCGAAGAAGAGGTCTCTGAACATGTCGTCATCTCCAAATCTCCAGATGTTTAATAGCCACGTATTTCCAAGTGGATCACAGTGTGAAAAATAAACTTGAACGAGAACAGCTAGCGAAAGAACAGTAACGGTATTTTAAAACTTCTGAGATAGACAGTTGACAAAAAATAGTCTCGTTAGGTAAAAAAAAAATTACCTGTAAATTAAAAATTTTAAATATGTATATATTTTGTCTGTTTTTGCGTCAAGGAATCCATTTCCATGATCGCGAGAACCGAAAAACGCAGGTGAGAAAAATCGCCCCTCTACGAATGCGAAACTCAACTAATCTTTCTAGGTGAAGGTCGTCCTTACCACATTTAGCGATAAAGTCGACATCGGCCAATTAAACGGTGTTCACATGAGGCGATTTTCCAGGCTAGTTTAGAGGCGATTAGTTCAATAAAAAGTTGGCTACCCCCCCAACTCCATTGGAAGCGATTAATTGAAAGGCCGTTCACACCAGGCGATTGTTGCATTCAACTTAAAGTTGCCTGTAAAATCGCCCCATGTAAACACCGTATTAGTCTTCATGATTGTCGTATGTAAGTACTATGTATGTAAGTAAGTGCAATCGGCACAGAACTTTGTTACCGATTTACACACGCCCATAGTTTATTTGTTGCTAATTTTTTATTTAATTTTATTTTTATTATTATTTTTTTTGTGGCCAGCTAAAGTAGCGCACGTTCTGTACAATTCGTTCGTGTTTCATGTGTAATCAATATATGTGCTCCTTTTTAGGTTGATTGATGTACATATGTACATTGTACATACATATTAGACGTCTGCATGAATCCATTCAAACCGGCAAATGAAACATTCAAAATTGATATGAGTATTGACATGACAACGTTCAAACGTTATAAAAACATAGTTAGTGAATATGAATAAAAATTTTTTTATATGAATATGTTTTTTGAGTTCATTGAACTCTACACATACATACCGTTGCCTTGATATAGAAAAGGGAGTTACGGAACTCATTTCATAGGTTCAAATAACACTTATTTTAGAGAGCTTAAGCAATCTGTTAGTCCAAAGACTGCTATTTTTTTTTTGGTTATGAGAAGCAAGAATAGCTTAGTAGCTCAGTTCTGTTCTTCCGAAAGCCGGACAGTGGCATAGGAGATTTTCTGTACCTTTCGAGGTACAAAGTTTGAAATTTATTTCGAATTTTTATAACTTTTGTACAAAGGTTTAAATGTGGATTCATATGGTGCTTATTGTATACCCAGCTAGACTTTAATAAAAAAAAAAAATAATGAAAAAAATGCAAATGTGAAAATTAAAGGTTTTCCGGTCATTTATTTAAAATTTTATTATAGGAAGAAGTATATGGAAAAAAAAAAAAAAAAAAATTTTGTGAAAACAATAGAAAACAGTTGGATGTAGGTAAACTAATGTATTTATTGACACGGAAGAGGATGTGTGAAGTATGAAAATATTTTTTTTTTTTGCATTTTTATTAGTTTTTTAGTTGAGTTCTGCAAAACGTTGGTACAATCGTACCGTTATTAAGTTTGAAAGTACGTTCGGTACAAACACACTATTTTAGGTACTTTTGAAACGTAGTCAAATAACTTATCAGGAAATCAGTTGTTATTTTTATAACATTTCAAATCATTTTCTGATGTGCATAACTTTGTTGAGATGCATATGATACAAATGGGTGGTAGAAAAAAACTTAACTGTAGTTGATTACGCCAGATATGTACACAGAGAATATTTCTTTTTAAATCGTAAGGCAGAAGAACTCAGAGGAACGTGATTCACCTTTTCGAAAACATAGTTTTGTCTCGAACTGCGTGAAGAGATTCTTTTATAGCCATATTTTTTTTTTAAGTAGGCCCAGAAATTGATATGTTATCGAAGGGAAAGGTTATACTCTAATTTCCTAATGGAATATCAGCTGAGCAGAGGGCTAGAAACAAACCATTCAATTGGCACGCACTAATCCAACAATTGAGAATCGATTTTTTTTATGGTAAATCGAGGTCAATGAGCGCCTTAATCGAAAAGGCTTGACTAATTGCAATATAATCATAGTTTAATCAATTTCATACGTTCCGTAGTTCCTTGTTAACATCGCAAAGCATTTATTAGTTGGATACGTTTTTATAACCCCCGTTAGGTGGAAAAAAATTCCA